CAGGGTCTCACTATGCAGCTCAGGCTGGCCTTTATAGGTGAGACAGGGTCTCACTATGCAGTTCAAGCCTCACTTTGTAGCTCAGGCTGGTCTCGAACTTGCAACGATCCTCCTGCTTCAGCCTCCCAAGTGCTGGGATTACAGGTGTGCACCACCACACCCAACTAGTCCATCTCTAAGAGTTGTCAAGTCTTAACATTTTCAGCATTACTGCAAAGTCCAAGTCTAAAATATTGATACTGAAAGGAACGGTTAATGTTTAATTTTTTTCCTTGAGCAATTTTACATGCTTACAGCTGGTAAGCTGAACAACTAATTTGAAGACAACAATATGTAATATAACAACCATTGTTGAATTCCTACCATCTTGTTTAGTGAAGCTCTATATCATTTCTCATGACTTCTTATTACTTTTTATTCTCTTTAACTGTTTGATCAATCTTGCATTCTTATATCTGCTAATCTGAGCAACTTCGTTGATGATAACAATATGTAATATAACAATTGCTGTTAATGCCTATCATTTTGTTTTGAAATCCTGTATTGTTTTTATTGGTTTTGTGTTGTTTTGTTTTTGTCTTTTGTTGCTATTTTGTTATTTTTTAAAATTTTCTTTAAAAAAAAAAAATCTCCTAAAGACTCCAGACAATTCTTGGCTGTGAGGCCCTGTAAAAACTGGAAGCAAAGTTATACTTCCAACATACCACAGTATAGGATAAGCATTCCTCTTACGAAAGGAAGGAACAGTAGAATAGAAAGGAACGGGACCAAAGGAAAACTGAAACCCAAAAGAATGGGACCAAAGCAAGACAGAAACCCAGCAAGGCAAATATTAAATCCTGTGCCTCTATGTCCAGCACCCAGGGCAGTTTTTTGTGAGATATTAACTTCAAAGGGCATGCCCCCCCGCACCCCATGGCCTTGCCTCTGGCCAGTATACATTGCCTCTCTGTTTGGCCCTGCTCACTGACCACAGTTTTACTCGGCAGAATTTCCACCTTCCTGGCACCTCCAAATTCCTGGAGTCTCTACCACTGTTTGGGTTCACTCTCACAGCTTCATGCATTGTCCTGTTAGGGGCTCTTTGCCTGGCCTTCCAGGTCTTCGTTTGCAATCTGGGTGTAAGCCTCCATGACCCCATAACTCTTACATTTTTCATGCCTGAAATACCAGCACCATGTGGATGTTGCAAAGATCTGCCACCAACTTGAGCAATAGCCTGACCCCCTTGGATCATAGCTGCAGAAGCTTTTGAATGCTTGGATGGCTAAGTAAGATGAAATGAATCCCAGGGAACCAATTCCCTAGGTGGTCCTTTTGAGCAGGGGAAAATGGGCTCTCTCTTCAAATGAAAGCTTTACAGTTTTGCATCCTTGAGCCTGCAAAGGATAGGGTCTGGCCAGTTCCTAAGATGCTTTCAAGCCATCTTTATTATTGTCCTGATGCAAAGACCTTGGCTTTATAAAAATGCTAATCTTTTCAGCAAGGACACTCTCCTTTGCCCAAACTTTACAGGTACTTTCCTTTCTGGCCAAGGTTTATACCATTTGGCTCTATTTTTTGCTCCTGATTCTCACTGTTAATCTGACTGGAATCAGCTACCAGTATTCATGTCACAACCTACATGTTTGAAATTTCCTCCATAAGTTATTAGTTCACTGCCCTTAATTAGTCTCCTGTAAAGTCTCAGAGCATGGGCAAAATGTAGACAATTTTTAGCAAAATGCTTGAGTGCAACATACATGGCCTTTAGTCTGACTTCCAATTGGGCCCCTGTTTCCATTTGAAATCACCTGAGGCTGGTCTTTACTGTCCAGATTCCTATCAGCATTCTGGTCTTCTGTGAAATTACCAGTAACACATAGAGTACTACTCACAATTCTAGGGCTTCTCTGGCCTGCATCTCCAAACCTTTCGAAGTTCCCTCTGCAAATGAGTTCCAAAGGTTTTTAAACCACATGTCAGGTTGTGTCATAGCAATAACCCCACTCTTGGTGCCAATCTTCTGTTTATTCAGCTTTCCAGTTACTGGGACAAAATACCCAACACCCACAGTTTAAAGAAGAAGAGGTTTTGGCTCACAAGTTTAATGGGTTTAGTCCATGGCTGCTTAGCTCCAAAGCCAAAACAACATGGTAGAAGGATGTGGTAGAGGAAAGCTGGTCATTGTCATGGCATCCAGGAGGCAGAGAGAGGAGCCGAGGACGTGAACATACCCTTCAATGTCACACCCCCAGGGACTCACCTCCAACAGGCCCAACCTCCTAATAGCACATTCAACTACTGAACTCATCAGTGGATGAATCCACTATAGCATCTTTACTATCCATTCACATTCCAAACACATGAAACTGGGAGACAGTTTATATCTAAACCATCATAGGGAGTCTTTGATGAGAAGGAACTATTTTGTGATATTCTTGTGAAGACAGGTCACTGTTCCTTCCTGCCCAAACCCAAGATGACGGTGCAGCTTGCATTGCCTGGAGAGAGATCAGAGTCCAAGAATAGGGTGGTATAGGACATCTAAAGCAGAGGCAGTTCAGTCATTTCAGGCATATGTGGGAGACACTATCAGCCCTTGGGGCTCCTTCCTTACAGAGGAGGGGGTTGCTATCCTAATAATTTGAAAGACCGAGGCCACTATAATTTCTAGTTTTATTTAAAATATATCTCTAGACACTTGAAAGCTCCAACATTCTAGTTCTTGAGGGCACATGAGGTCTTGTATGGAAAAAACCCTTTCAATCCCAGGCATCCTGCTCCATGGACCTGAGAAAAAACAAAGGCAAAGTATTTCCCAGCTGTTCTTTATGAGTCTTTTCTTCCTAGTTTCCCTTAGGCTTCTGCTCATGAGCCTTGTTTTAGAGACATACATTTAAGTTCTTTCATTATTTTTCCATCTGTTTTCATCACAAAGTTCTCTTATATCAGAGCGGAAGGGAGTGTTTGTAGCTGGATATTATGCACTAACAAGATGAATATCTAACTGGTTTTTCAATGAGGTGAGCTTCCAAGTACACATAATTTTCTTAGACTGGTCAGGGATGCTATTTAACACATTGACATAGCAGCTACAATTTCATCCCTATTGATTACATCCATGGTCATTCTTTGGAGAAAGATGGTATTCAATTCCTTAGAGCTTTTCGGGATTTGTGGTACTTTTGCCTTTTTATTCAAACAGCTGCTTATTTGCATAGCTTGTTAAAGACACCTCCCTACCATCACACTAATGGGCTTCCTCTAGCTTCTTGGACAATTTTTCTTGCTTCTGTAGATTTTACAATAAAGAGAAACTTTCATCTTCAACAAAAAATTCTTTCTGTCTGGAATCTTTATCTTTTTTCAGATACACAACAAAGCCGAACTTTATGGATTATTACTTTGGCATGGTAATGATTTTACTTGTCTCCAAGACATTCTTGAAATTCCTAGTTTCTTTACAGATCTTCCCTTGGGATGTAGATGCTGCAGGCTGCAGGATGTCTATTAATTTCATTTCTGCTCAATATTTACAGAAAATCTTTTATGTTGTAGATATCATGCTGCTTTAGCAGTATGGGACTATAAAGTAGAGCTCATGCTTAGTTTTATGCCAGAACACTTGACTCACTAGTTCTAGTCTTGTAACTAATTTTGCCAAGAATTGTAGGAACCTTCTCCTAGGGCTACTAAATACCATAAGGAAGGCAGTCAAGAAGAGCAGTCCAGGTTATTAGGGTTATACAGTAACTGAAGGAGACAGAAAGGAAGAGAGAGACAGAGAGGAAGACAGGAAGAAGGGGGTGATGGAGCGGGAGGGAGAGAGAATATGCAAAACTTTGGGAGAAATATTGGTATTCAAAGACATTAGTGAAAAATCGTATTTTAAACTCTGGGGGCTGGGGATACAGCACTAACACACAAACCAAAAAACGAACCACCACTATCAACAAAAACAGGTATTTTTTCTAGCCGAATGTAGGCTTTAAGTTTTTTGTGTGTTATACTTGCAGAACACAAACAGTATAAACAAAAATAATAGGAAATTATGCGTATTTCATTCTTTTAAATAAATATACTTATTACTGTACCAGTGTTTTGCATTGCAATAGCTTTTTTTCCCCCTCCAGGTCTGTGGATTAAACCCAGGGCCTTGAATATGGCAGGCAAGCACTCCACTACTTAGAAGTTGGGCGCCCAGCGCAACCTATAATATTTCCCTCTATTAAAATCTTTAAGGGGGAGTATCACGTCGCTTAATAAAGTTTTGGCAAAGAACTTGAAGTTTTTATATGGAGGGACACAAAGAAATGGAAGCATTTATTTTCTTCGTGATATATACCTCCGGGCATAGTGCATTGTTTTGTTGAGGAAGTCTTGAAGACGTAATAATTTTAGTTCTAAAGGTGCAAGGATCCATCGATTCCTCTGCCCTTATCAGCTGAAGGAGCACAACTAAGTCTCCTTGTCTTCTGAAAATCGAAGGAAGGAGGAATGAATGTTCAAGTGCAGGTTTCCTAAGGGCAAAGCCGTGCTGACGATCTGAGGTTCCAGCAGCTTTTACTCGGGCGACTCGAGGACACCTCTAGCAGGGCGGCCGCCGAACCCGCAGCGGAGGCGCTAGTGCTCTGCAGGTGCAGAGATTGCGCTCTCGCGCCACGCTGCTTCCTCGCTCGGCTGCCAGAGGGCGGCAACCACGGAGGCGCGGTAGCAGGACCTGGCCCCTGAAACAGCTCAGACGTATTCCAGGGAGCAGACAGGATCCAGTCGGGTACCCACACCTGCGGTGGGGAGAGAAAACCGCGAGCAGCAGAGGGTTTGGGACGCTGGGGGGCTGGTCCGACTCGTCTTAGTTGGGACTGTTTTCTCTGATTGCTTCCTCAGAATGCCCATCATTCCAATCCCTATCTCTATTGGCTTTTCTGTCTGCCACTCAGTTCCGCCGCGCTGCTCTCTATTGGCCTCTTTCGGTCGAGGCCCCGCCCAGCGAGCCGGGCTGGAGCGGCTGGGCGCGGGGCTAGAGAGCGAACGCGAGAGAGAGCGGGCGAGCCAGCGAGAGAGCGCGGCGCCGGCTCCCGCTGGAAGGAAGGCGGCGGCCGCTCTGGAGAAGGAGGTGGAGGGGAAAGAGGAGCAGCGGGGCCGGCAGCAGACAGCGGCGGGCCGGGGTGATGGTGCACGCATCCCGGGCCAGCGCGGGGCTGCCGGGCTAAGGGCGCCCGTCCGGGTCCGCAGCGCCGCCGCGTCGCTCCCGGGGCCGGGCGAGCGGGCGGGAAGATGCTGAGCCGGCTGATGAGCGGCAGCAGCAGGAGCCTGGAGCGCGAGTACAGCTGCACCGTGCGGCTGCTGGACGACAGCGAGTACACCTGCACCATCCAGGTCAGCAGCCCGACCCCGGCCTCGCCGGCGGGGC